TAATAAAATATAGAGACTAAAATAAAATAAAAAATTATAAAATTAAGATTAAATTTTATTGTATTTTAAGGGATCACAAATATATTTAACCCTAAACATTAAATGTCTTTTCTTGAAAATTAAATTAATTTTGAGTATACCAAAATTTTCAAATAAGTAATAGAAAAAGATTAGTTCAGTCATATTCATATTCCCACTTAATGCTTAGTAAGATTATTTTTCACTTATGTAGGTAAATCATAACTATAAAAATCTATTTGTCTACTACTTTTGCACCAAAGGGACTCTTTGACTAGCGTAGTTGCACCCTCTCATGATATTTAAATGTTGGAAATCAACTTTAAAATACATGAAAAGTGAACAATACAAATTTTATAAAATATAGAAAAATGATATATTGAGCAAAGGAATGATGCACAAGCAAAACTAAAGTGCATAACACAAAACAATTATGTTTTTGAATAATTCATGTGTTATTATCATTTTTAATAAAAAAAATATCTTATAAAAAGGCATGTCAATGGTTATGTGTACATAGAAAAGGTTGGTCTTAAAATTCATAATTTTCCATGATAAATAACAATTTCCTAGAATATGTTATCAAATACCAGAATTGAAAATGCAATTTATAGTAATTCTCTTAAGCCTGATGATATATTTGACTAAATTTTCACAAATTGTTCAAGCAACAAATTTCTGCTATTGATCATGTAAGTCATATATTTTTCAATACCGTAGAGAAAGTGGAAACATGAACAAACATACCAGTTAAAGCCATTTGATTAGGCATGCATTGTACTATTGTTCACTTTGATTAAGCTACATTTTAAACTCGTGTGGGACAATCTATGCATGATGGGATTAATAAATTTACAAGAAAATTCTTACCTTAGGCAAGAAATTTGCTTGGCCGAAAGATTTTTTTAAAATATTTATTTTTTATTTATTTTTTAATGTAATTAATCTAATTCAATTTATTTTTTATTCAATATTTCTCTCAAATTTTCTTTTAATCATTCTCTTGTCTGTGTCCTAACTTTGTTTTGATCATCAGTTTTATATTTTAAAATAAATTATTAATTATTTTCTTGGATAATAAACTATGGTTAAAGCAATTCGCAGGTGTGAGTAAGAGTAACCAAAAAAAAAAAAAAAAAAAAAAACAACTATAGTCAAAGTAATTGATATATGAGGTTTCCGAATATGGTAAACAATCCACCAAGAAGAAAAACGCTTTACAGTTATGAACTACGATTATAAACGATAGTTTTTTAGATCATAATTACAAAAGGAAGAAATTTATAAATATTATTGGACATTTGTTTATTTTGTTTCTGCTGTCACACAATATTTCATCTTAAAAGGAACATTATAAGACAACCAACTGGCCTAGAACCATGTCATTCTCATGGGAAAAATAAATAGAAGAAACTAACTAGCATAGTGCTTAATTTCTAGCTCATCTGTAGGCTAAGGGCCTCGCCCAGCTAATGGCCTCATATTGTTTTTAAATATATAGTTGGTCTGATTGACCCAAAAACAAGAAATATAGTTGGTCTGAAGATGGGCAAAGACTACATGTAACAATGCGATCCCAAAAATAAAATAAAATGCAATTGTGGGCTGAAAAAAGAAAACAATGCAATCAAATTTTGATAAAATTTTGAAAATAAAGACACAGTTGAGTATATAAACCTATAATTCTGAATATATGAAATCATCCTTTATACGTATTATTTCTTAAATAGTAGTACTTTTAAGAGTATTTTAAACCAAAGTGTTATTAGAGAATAATTCCTTTTCCATCATGCCAAACTGTTTTTCAATATTATGCATTTATTTTTAATTTAATAATTTAAATTTTGAATTATTTATAATTTATTCTAAATTTTATTAATATGAGAGATTATTTATTGATAATAATTATAGTATTATATAAAATTTATGAATTTGTAAAATAATCATATAATATATTTTTAATTATTTAATTTAAATTTTTTATTTTAATTAAATGATACATATGCTGTGCACAAGAAAATTTATAATTATTGAGTAAAATACCCTTGTTTGTTTCTATTTTGGATTTTAAGTTTTAAAATTATATTTTAAAAAAATTTAAGAAGAAAAAAAAATATTATGTTAACAAATAAATTTTATTTTTCTTTACTTTTAAAAATTAAAAAATACTTTTAAAATAAAAAAAAGCTTGGATATTTATAGGCACATTAACTAAAATTTAAAAAATAAAAAACTACTCATTGTGTTTTGTATTTTAAAAATAATGCAAATGATTCCTAATATATTTTGAAATTATATTTTATAAATATTAAATTCTTGTAATTTAATGAGAACAATATACATTAATGTTATTTCAGCTTTTTATTTACATTTATTTATTTCTTATTACTTTATCACTGAAAATTTTATAAGTATGAATAAATTAAATAAAAATTTTATATTTTTGCACTTCACAACTTAAATATGAGCAAATTTTTATTTACTTTCCTCTTCCTAATTTCAAAATTATTTCCTTAGATTATATAAATAAATAAGGATGTTACATTGATTTAGACAGATTATATTAGTTTAAACAAAATTAATCTATCTTAAGCAAACTTTTTAAACAAAGGATTCGTGCATTTTTAGCTTAAATGAAAAAGAATAGCTTAAACAAATTTTTTTGATAATAATTTTTTTTACACTTTTTAGATTTCAACCACATCTCTTTAATTATTATATTCTGATTTAACTAAATTGTTATTGTTAAAAAAAATTAAAATAAATATATAATATTTTTAAATTTAATTAATTATATTTATAAATATCACAATTTAAAATATGACAATATAAAGAAAGTGTAATTATTTAAATTGTTGGAGTTAGAAAACAAGTTTGTATGCTGAGAAAAATAAGGAGAAATTGAACAAAGTCTCTATGATGTTATTCTAAAAACTGATTATCTAATTGCATTTGATTTCTTAACTTGAGTATTATTTTTAACTTTTTAACTTTAATTTCAACCATGATTAGTAAATGTATCAAACTAACTTCAACAATAAAAAAGAACGACTCGAACTAATTTTAGAAATAATGATAAAAAGTAGTATTTTTAAAAGAATATAGTTAAGTTTCATTTGAGCATAAAAAAATTCAACTAAAATATTATAATTAAGTTTTTTTTAATTTTCTTTAAAAATATTTTAAAAAATATATTCTAAATATCTAATATTTTAATATTTTTTAGTTACAAATATTTAAAAAATTAAAATATATATACTATATTTTAAAACTTTTTATACTAAATCATTCAACTAACTTGTCCATAAATAATATAAGACACTAGCTCACCCACGTTACTCATCCCCAAAATAAAAATATTTTGGTTACTTAACCTAACTCCAATTTCTTGAAGGAATAAAGTTGCTATGAATAATTTATAATTTCTTTAAAAAAACAAACCAAAACAAAAAAAACAACCATCTGAGTTCACAACTTCACATGGTTCGGATGGCACTGCACGGATTCACCAACGTGATTGCCAGGGTGGAACCCATGTTTCGTGCAAATCGTGGAACGAATCACACGTTGTTGCCCCATGAACCATCAAACATACCATGGTTTCGGTCTTTAACTGCAGCACGCGAAGTAGTTTATCGGTGTTAAGCAAAAAATCATCCCCTGGGGTCCACACGTACATTATCAAAGGCCGTGATTTAAGTAAATATCTCGTGAGCGATGATGATGTTGACATTTGGTTATCTGTGAAAGTTACAAACACTTCGAATAAAATCCTCACATCTGCACGATAGAATTATCCCTTTGTCCCATTATTAATTAGATTCTCTTACCTGTTTCATCTTCTCCCTCTAACAATTAAATTGTTTAATCGTATTTAAGATTTCGTAACATATCAATAATTCATCCAAATCCACAAAGAATAAATATATAAATAATAAAATAAAAAATAACTCTTGCTATATTTTTTGAATTTATATAAATTAATAATATGTCATATTTTTTATGTTTTTGTAAATTATTAAAAAATTAACATATAAAATTTAATTTACATAATTCAAAAATTAAGAGAATTAAATATAAAAAAGTTAAAACTAAAAAAAGATTTCACGTGTAATTTAAAGTACTAGAACAAAATTGTAATTGAATCTATTATTTAATATTACCTTAATGACAATATGAGAACCAAAGTTTGTCGTTAGTATACTTCTAATTTGTTACCTCTCGTAAATCGTAATTATCTGATTAGAATGACATTAATATATACTTTAAAATATACATTATATATTAAATAAAATTGAGTGATGCAATTTTTGTTAACTTATAAAAAGTTTAATTAAAATATACTAATAGTATATCTTTTTATATATAATCATCTAAACACGGATTAATGAAATTTTGGAAAATAAAAAATATATTTTAGTTAAATAATTAGTTAATAAATAAATATCAATTAATTTTAATGTGATAGCTTATGACATTTATCCAAATATAAGAAATAAGCGTAATTTAATGAGAAGAAATAATATAGTAATTTTAGAAAAAAAAAAGTTAAAATAATATCTCAAATTTAATATAGAAATGTAGATTCTTTGGACCATAACTAATACATGTTTCACAGATACTCTCACCATTAATATTAAATACTAACTTAAAGTTCATGACGAATATTTTTCATAATTGTTAAGTTATTATTTTTAATCAAATATTTACCTTTTCGCATTATACATTAATTGTTATTACTATTAAGAATCTTGTTATGGTGAGATAAATGCTGAAAAAGTGACACATGTAATAAGAATTTTCCTATGTATGACTTGGGTAACACCGACATTCATTTTTCTTTAAGACTCTCATATAATAAATCTAGGCCATCCATGGTAAAATTTACAATAAGACCAAAAAATAAAAAATAAAGTTAATGGATGAGATGGACTGAGTGTCATTATTAAAAATATATACATGCGTTATCAATGACCAAGCCTAGGAATACTTTGTCTAAACCCTGAAGTTTTAAACCATTTGTCTTGTTCTATGGTTGCTCAGCTCTCTCTCTCCACTTTCACACAAACAATTGAGAAGAAAACATGGCAAAGGATAGGACTATTGGTGTGGCTATGGACTTCTCCAAGAGCAGCAAAAATGCTCTGAAATGGACACTTGATAACTTAGCTGACAAAGGTGATACCATTTACATCATCCACATCAACCAAAACTCTCTAGATGAGTCCCGCAACCAGCTATGGGCCAAATCTGGTTCTCGTGAGTACTATTTTTGTGTCAATTTTGTTTGGGTAAATTTTAATTGTGTTTTCTTCTATTTCTTTCCTTTTGATCTGATTTGATCTGAACCCAATTTTCTTTTTAAGCTCTTATTCCTTTGCAAGAGTTCAGAGAGCCTGAGATTATGAACAAGTACGGGGTTCAAATTGATATTGAAGTTCTTGATATGCTTGACACTGCTTCCAGACAAAAAGAGGTGTGTGTGTGTTTTTTTTTTAATCATTTTCCCTTTTCTCTGTTTTTCTCTTTCTCTGCTGAGTTTCGACAAAATGGAATTCAATTTAGACAACGGCTGTTTAGGAGTGCCTATGTGTTTTTATTATTGTTGTTACGCTTATTGTTGTCTGTTCAGGTGCACATTGTTACGAAATTATACTGGGGGGATGCCAGAGAGAAACTTTTGGATGCAATTGAAGATCTGAAACTGGATTCTCTGGTTATGGGAAGCAGGGGTCTCAGCACGATCCAAAGGTGCCTAGTTTTTTAATCACCTAATTTATTGTTTTATGGAATTAGACTCCAATAATTTCATGAGAATTATTCGCATCGAGGTGACATTTATGGAATTAGACAATTAAGACTTTATTTTTTGGTGGGTTGTGTAAAACTTTGTAATTTGATTTTGCAGTTAAAACTCTGATTTTTTGTTTTTGGGTTACAAGTGAGGTCCTCATTTGAATGATTACATATTTGACAAAATTAGTGTCTTTTCGCTAATCCTTAAAGTCACATTCAGTCCTGATTTATTTATTATATATTGGTTGTGATAGAACACTGTTATCTGCATTTGTTTAAATATGGGTTTCACTGATGTTTGCCGGTGACTCCAAAAAATTACAAAACAGGATAATATTGGGAAGTGTCAGCAACTTTGTGATGACCCATGCCTCTTGCCCTGTGACTATCGTCAAGGATTCTAGCAGCAGCAAGTAAAGAATAAAGATGAATCAGTTTGGCAGAGCATCTAAATTTCAATTGATCTGTTTATTGCATTGTACCTGATCTAGTTGGGTCACAGTCAGTTTTCTATGTATTCTGGTGTTGAGGTTGAGATTTGAGTTATAAATGATGTATGTTATTAGCTTTCAATCCTTGACTTTATTGAAGGAATAATGTAATTTGAGTGCCATACAAGGCCACAGGCCTTCAAAATTCTGTTGTAATTGCAGAATTTATGGGATCTTAATAGGTTTTCGTGAGCATTTTGCCCTTGGATCATATGCTCAGGACGACCCATTCAATGGATGTTATATCCAAAAGGCATTTCTTCCATCGTAGCGTAAAATAATTTTCCCTCTAATTAGTAGCTTATGACTGTAAATTTATTTTAATAAATAATTTTATTAATCTAATTTTTTGAAATAATTTAAATATTTAAAAACAATACATTCTTCTTAAAAAAAACTTATTATATTAAAATTAGAGAAACGCGATGAATATTTTTTAAAATAAATTTAGTTTACTAAGACGAGTTTTATTTTACTTATTTTAATGAATTTTGTAATTAAATTTGTTTCACTTTCATATGTGAAATTTTATAAAATAAACACTTATTAAATTACTTATCTAAACAAACTTTGACTATAAATCCCCCAAGTAATTTCTATATTCTGACACATTTTGTTGATAAGTTTCGGAGTTTGCACGGCATTGCCATTTTCAAGAATAATGAAAGAAAGAAAAGAAAGAGAAGCATAACTTGAATAAAAAGTTAGAAATCCGAAACGAAGCACAAATTGAAAATTGAAATTGTTATGGAGTGGTAGGGAATAAGTTTCCTTATATGATTTGGTTCCAGTTGTACGCAGCTTATGCTCTCTCTGGCATCCACTTGCAATGCACTTTTCTGAAGATGGAAGAGCCACTGTCATATGCGCATAGGTCGGTTTAAATTACAGCTCAGAGGAAAGTTCAAACTTTTGACATTACTACGTAAAAAGAGTTTTCTGGAACCTACTTTTAACTTCGAATAATTTTTGTTTTCACACTAATTTTTTACCAGTGTCATGCACGGGTTAGATATTTATGTATGTAATTAAAATATGATAAACAAATATATTTAAATATAATTCATATAATGTATAAATTTTATTATCATTTTAGATTAAACATTTAATTTTAAACAATATTATTTGTAATATAAATAATTTTATATAACTTAATTATTAATATTTTTATATAAATTTATTATTCTTATATTGTAAATTTATAGTATTACTAATAATTTTCTTGTTTAAGACATGAACATCATTGACTTATATTTCTTTTTTTGTTAGATTTGTATTTTTCATAATATATATATATATATATATATATTTAAATTTTAATTTACTATTAATTATGTTATATTTGTATAATACATTTATTTATTCATGTAAATTAAAAAAATTTATATAGAATTTTTTTCCACCACTAAATGTGTTTAAATTCAGTTTTATAATTTATATATATTAAGCAATAAGATTTCAAATAATAAATTTTTCTTGTTTCGTGAAAATATTAACTCAGGATTTAAATAGATTGATATTTTATTTTTAAATGTTATTTATTTTTATAGTTTATATATTACATTATTTTATGTAAAGTTTAATTCTTGTATAGTGTAGATGTCTATCTATTTTATTTAAATATTTAGGATTCGTTTGTAAGGAATAAGAATTGACATTCAGATTTTAAATTCAATTCTATTTAGAATTAAAATTGGTTTATAATTATAATTCTACGTTTGACAAACGGAAGGAATTAGAATCTAGAATTAGAGTTCTAAGTTGAAATTAAATTCTATAGTGTAATGTAAGATTTAAATTTTTAAAAAATAATTTAATTTTGTATTAAAATTTTATTTAATAACTTTTTTAAAAATAATGTATTAATTAAAAATAAAATAATTATTGAATAAATTGTTAAAAATAGTAACTTAATACTTCTTTTTCAAAAATTATGACACAATAAATTTATTATTTATGTGTAATTTATTATTAAAATTTAATATTATGTTATGAACTATCTTTCTCATAAATTAGATGAAAATATACAAATGCTCATAAATATAATTTAATTCTTACAATTGAGAATATAAATTGAATATAAGTGTTTATGAGAACTCTTATTTTTTTAAATTATGAGATAAAATAAATAGAAATATTGTAACAGATTCTTCTACACCTACATGATAAGTATCATGTAGTCTTCCTTCTTCTTCACCACGTAAAATGTTACAAAGCTCAAAAAAGCTTGTTTAGTAAAATGTAATTGATTCTAGCAATTTTCATGTCTAATGTTATAATTGCCTCAAAAGTATATTATGTACTATATCTCATTACTTTGTTGTATCTATCACTAATTTTCTCTTTTTTATTTCTCTTGTACTCTCAATAGTTCTTGAATTAATTTCTAATATTTGCTCTAACATCTAACAATTCAAAAAAAGTATTAAACAATTTATTATACAATTAACATAAATAATATAATTTGCAGCATGTGTAAAAAAAGCATAATAGCAATATAACATAGTTTGCAATGAAGAAGAACAATAGAATACACTAACGTAAACATATTAAACATGTAACAAATGTTAAAAAAGGAAGAAAGAAAGAGACATAAAAGAAGAATACGAAACAAATGTAAAAAAAGATGTAAAAGAAGAATAAGAAGAATAACATGATGAGGAATAGCAAAAAATCATTTTTATTATTAATTAATGTAAAATGAACAAGAAGAAAATAGAAAAAAAATAAGAAAACATAAAAAAAGAAGTGATATTAATGGTCAATATAAAAGTAGAGTTAAAAAGAGAATAAAATACAGAAAAACAAGAAGAGAACATAAGAAAAGAAAGAAATATGTATAGCGAAAAGAGAAAACAAAGGAAGAGAGAGAAGAAGAAAGTACTTAGAAAAAAAAAGTATCTACTGAAGCATAAGAATAACAAAGACGAACCATAATTAAAAGAGTAGGAAGTAAAGTAAATGAGAATGTATTTGTGAACTATAATATTAGGAATTCAAATTACTAGAGTGCAAGTTAGGAAATAAAGTGAGACAAATTTAGTTATCATAGAATTCTATGGAATTGATTCATGAAATTATAATCCTAATTTCAAATAGACATTCATGCATGATAATTAAAATTTTTTAAGCCTAATTCCAACATTTAATTCCATACTCAATTTGGTACACCATACAGACACTTAGCCTTTTAAAAGTTTTAATGCACATATATTATATCAATAAAGAGTTTAATTTTAATGTATTTATAAAATTTAGATTAATATAACTTTTAAATTAAATTTTACAAAAAATAATAACTTTTATTGATGGGAGAATTAATGTTTAAATAATAGAGCAATATATTATAAAAATATTTACAATGTCAAATAATATCAATTAAATTTGGATGAATAGTTATTATTCTGACCATATCTTATGTGAAAAATATAAGTTTTCTGCTTTAAATTACTCTTTCTTTTTTCCAAATTGTGAAAGTTTTATCTTATACATAATTCTTACACTTATTTGCACAATGCAAAGTCACTAATTTTATAAGTATAACTGTAAAAATAATTTTAAAGAAGAAACTATAAAAAATATAAAAATTAAATTTCCAAAAAGTTCTGGTGTGCAATATAAGTAAAAATACTAATAAATATTTATTTAACTAATTTGTAACTTATTTAAATTTTTATTCATAACTTTTTAAAATTTCTTAAATTCAAAAATCATTTCAAAATAATACATGTATTAAAATAAAAGATTGTTAAAAATGTAATTAATAAATTGCATTTCACGTATCCTATGAATCATATTAATTTTTATGAACACGTTAACTATATTTATGCAAGGGGATCACATCTATCATTTATATCGTAGTACGTACATTCTTATAAAATCTTTTGCCTATTCTATTTACAATAAAGTAGCACTGCGAGAGAATGGAAATTTCAACCACGCTTTATTAACCAGGGACTTGTGCCAAAGTAGAAAGGATTGTAATTCTAACATCATAAAACTTTGCCAAAATCTCTTATATTGAGTGTGAGGTTTCTTTTGCTGGAATACTCTTTATCGCAAGAAATAGTATCACCGCTATTCTAATGCCCCATAATAGAACTAAACATTTTAGGATTTTAATAAGGATAAACACACAAATTTATCATATATTTGGCTAAAGTTTGACTTTTAAAACTATTCTTGATAAAAGTGAAACAACATAATAGCCACAAGAGCCTAGGAATTATTAGTATGACAAAAAACTCTTAGGATACATCATATATATATATATATATATATATATATATATATATATCATTTTCAATTGAAATTTTAACAATAAAAAGCTCAATTTCAGACAAGGAATACGTCTATTTTGAAGTAGTATGGCTTTCAAGGCGAGCTTTGAAGGCAGCAAAAAGTGTTTCTTTAGGTGGCAAAGTCTCTTTAACAACAGGAAGGTTGAGCACTTCATGGCTCCAATTGTAGAGCTTTGGATAATTCTCACTGGTCAACAACTCCAACCCCACAACTTGTTGAATAACAGGGAGCCAAAAAGCAAAGAAGGTACCAACAATGTCCACCAACCCAAGGGTCTCTCCACCAAAGAACTTGTCCTTGAGCTCATTCTCAAGAATCTGCAGAACCTCACATGCTTCTTCAATACTCTTCTCGCGTTCTTTCTCTTCAAAGGTCCATGCAGCTTTCCATATGATAGACAAGCACTAATCACATAAATTATAGTACATGTTAGTAATCATGTTAGGATTCTTATGATTGAAGGTCTATATTTGTTTTAAATTTGAAAAATAAAAGATTTTTATACAGGCTTAAGTACATTTTTTTATCTCTATTAAAATTGTCAATTTAGTGAAAATTCTTAAAAAAAAATTATAATTTAGTTCCTAAAACATGAAGCAAATAAAAATTTAGCTCTCAACGTTAACTATGATTTGTGAAGTGTGGTTAGTTGGTTAATTGTTAAAGTTAGTTTTAACCTAGCCTATCCTAAATTTTTGACAAGATGAGTTATTAAAAACTTGACTTGTATATCTAAATTTTTGACTTTCACTACCTCAACTCACTAGCAAACATGACTCAACTTTCAATGAGTCAAGTTAACTTACATATTTTTAATTTTTTATAATTAATAACTTAAATTTAAAAGTAATTTACAATTACACTTAAATCGATTTTTAATCCTTCAAATCAATCTCTTTACATTTTTCATTCACATACATATCTGAATATGATTCGTTACTCTAATTAAACAATGTTTT